AAAAATTAACCCCAGGTTAAATTTAAGAAAGGCTTTTTCACCTACACTATGAATCAAATTTCTGTTCCATAAGGCAGAAAGTCCTAGTATGAGATCTTCCAAAAGAAGTTTTAAGCTCCCTAAATTACTACTATTTGAAGTGATTAATCAAATCACTGCAAAGTCATTACTCCTTAGAACAAATAAATCTTCCATTTTATCCCATTTATTTAAATCTTACCCTTAATCTTATACAACTCAATATTTATCAGATGTTTTATTATACAGGAGAAAAAGAGAAAGACTATTTGGCAATGACATCTTAGATGACAAATGATATAGAAAATACAGAGCAGTAATCAAGGAGTTCTATCTGCTATATAATACAGCTAATCACAGCATATCACTCGATATATTACTAGTCTGTTATTTATCTCTTTTTATGGTACTCTAGTTTTCCAGTGAGTTCACTTAGGATTATTAACTCCTGCCTGCTTCAACAGTGAGGGACAATGCTCTAGCTACAGTGGGAATCCGTATCACACACGTTAAAACAAGATGATTCCTACCTTTCATTTCTCATCTAACCTATAATTCTGCTTTTGATACTGCAATTAAACATATAAATTCAGGATGCACTTTTATACCTTGCCTGAAGTGAGAAAACTGCCAACTTTTCAGCCATGTTGCAACTTCCAGTTCTTTTTCTTTAATATTAGCAAGGGAAGAAAATGTAAAATGAAAAAAAAATTGCAAAATTTAAAAGGTTGAGGTGAAGTCATAATGAGGTAACACTAGTAGCCAGACTACAGCACAAATTTGAAAGCCTTAAAGTATCTATAATTCAGTATGAAAAAAAGACCTAACCCCATACTCTAACGAAATTAATGAGCACTAGTCCACCACCTTTAACAGAATACAAGTAAATTAAGTGCTCATCCACTTACCAGTGTGTCCTTCCAAAAAAGGAAAGCAGACTTTAGAGATAATATTCTGAGACTTAACTTGGAATTTTTATGTATTTCATTGTTGAACAAGAGAAAGTTTATGCCTTACTTGTTTTTATATCGCTGTAGTTCCTTCCATTTTCCACATTAGTCACAAGGAACTACAAATTATCAGTATTTTAAGGTATCGCCCCACTAGGCCACCAAAGATTAAAGGTGACCTCCTGACTACTTCTCTCCCTGACAGCACTATTCTCAGCATATAGCTCTTAAGAATTTTATATTGCTTGAGAAACAAAAAACTCTGAACCCACTTGGTTCAGTTTGTCAGATAGTTGCTACTTGGTATTTGATACCGCTACAGTAATAACACAGAACTGTTCCACTCTGATCTTAGTCTCCAGCTGGAGAAGCACACCAGTGCAAAGAAGGTATGTTATAGACATGGTTTGTAAAAACAAACCAGGAAATTACTTATGGGTCTGCTGGCAAAGTCCTGTGATTTGGGGCAGGGGAAAACAACCAAACCCTCCGAAACATCTTTCACATAGGTACATACCTATAGTATACTGCTCCGAGCATCATTTTAGTAAAAACAGTTACTCACGAAGTGTTTAAGCTTTATTAGCCAAAAGTATTGGCCATTATGGAATACAAATATACACCTTCTTACCCTCTCTAAAAACCTTTAGACTAGACACATCACTGATTTTAATTCAATTCTAAACTTTGAATATCTTTAGTTAGTAGTCAGCTTGCTAAATGCAATGCTAAGATTGTACGTTTCTAACTGACAAGCAAAGAAGTCTTTTCAGATCATATACCTTTAAAACTTTAAAAGTTTTACAAAAGCTCTCTTTTCTAAGATCAGAATTATTTAAGACCAGTTGTTCTTGCAACCAGTACACCTTACTATTTCATATTTGGAGAAGCAAGCCAAAATACACACATAACTGCTCTTAGGTTTAGACACAGTTATAATTCTTAGCAAGCCACATTTGCGAATATCTCATTATTTTTTCTTCATCACTTTGAAGAAGCAGTCTTATTTGCTCACCATGAAGAAAAGGTATGCTTTAAGCTGGCAACAAGTTGACAACCTGTCTCTTCTTTGCATCCCCTGAAGATAACATTTGTAAAACCACCCTGCAGGGCAAATAGGTCAATTGCCAACTTTATGTTTTTCAGAGATACAGCTCTGTATTCATTTTTACTAAGAAGCTGACAACTTGGACATACTAAAGACTAGAGATTCCTAGGGCTTCTCTCCTTACAAAGAGCAGTCAAAGTGTGCATGTGGGGAAAAATAAAACATAATAGTTATGAATGCAAGATATTATTTAAAGGATGCAGAAGAAATTCCTTTTTCAGACTTGGCAGGAAGTGAATATGGGAGACAAGTATATGGATCTAAAATGTTATTCCCATTTTCACTAAACCCCTGAAAATTCATGATCAGTATGAAAACAGTTCTAGTATTCCATTAGCACTATTTATACATCAGTAAGAATGTTTATTTTGTGAATTTTCACTGCAAAGGTTACTCATTCTGGCTTTTCTTTATGTTTGTAATTTTGGATCTCCAGTACACATTAGCAGTTAACTGTAATTTACAGCACTTGTTGACACCTTCTAAAGAAGCATGTGGCTAAGCAATATATAAGTTTTAACTAAATTAACATTGCAAGAAATTTCTGTTCTTGAACTTTGTCTCTGAAAAAATTGTATGCTCCAGAATTTTGGTGCTTAGTCACATAGAACTGCTCTTTCAAGTTATAAGTTCACAATTCTGTGTCTGAAAAATATGAGCAAGAAAAAAAAAAAGTAGCAGCTAAACACAATGCATGTGTAGTAACTTCCTGCAATAGTCTGGCAGACCAGTTTGTTTATCCCAATTCAAATACCAAGTACTATATTAAATCAGGCTACTGCCTTTGTGTATTATTTTCAGATAATCCTCTTATGATCTCATCACTTAAAAATCAGCAGGCTTCTCTAAGCACCAAAAATGTTAAAACACAAATGTACTTGCACAGATGCTAAATACCAATGCAATGTATCTACAAGTGCTATGAAACAACATAGAAAAGATTTAACGTAGATTTAGAATGGCCATTGCACTTGTTTTCAAGTAGCACTAAGTATCAAAGAGCAAGATAACTGTAGTAATGAGTTTGCATTTTGATACTGCCTTTCAGGTATGGTCATAGATCACTGTCAGCAGCAGCTGAAGGACTTAGTAGTTGTACTATCCCTTTTAATCTGCTCCTGCTCTCATCATGATCATAACTCACCGTTCGCTCCCACAGTTCCACCACAGATTACTTGCTTCCAGCCAGTACTAAGAATATACTGATTTTAAAAGGCCAAGGATCAAACTGTTTCACAGATGCAGCTCAGTGAACAGCCATGGAAGCATCTGAAGAAGGCCAACCATGGAGATGGTCATTTCTGGCAATAAAGTAGAAACAAAATGTTGGAATGTGCAGCTTCAGACTGGATCTGCTATTGATAGAAGTACAACATCTAACTACAGCCTTAACCTCTAAAGAGCTATGTGCATCTTAACATATACTAAAAGATTGCATTAAATTCAATTTGTAAATACGGTTTCCCTTAATAACAGTAAAGCTTAACATCATCCAATTTAACACAGGTTCTTAAAACCCCCATCTATGATTTCAGAATAGCAAGATAAGTAGTCAAGCTAGATTTCTGCTTGTTCAACTACGCTATCAGGAGTAATAGAATACTTCAAAGTTTCTTTGAGTCAACTAAATCTTCGACAACTTTCCCACTTTCCTCTGTTTCAGCTCCTTTGTGCTCTGGAGGATGCTGTATCATTGTTTGATGAGCCTCCACTATTATCAGCCTCTCTTTGCTCACAGTTAACAAAAGTATTATTTTTCCTTGCTTGACTTTAGCCTGATTTATCATCAACTTTTATGGTGCTAGAGAAAGAATGGGGTTGGATCAGTAGTGAACCTTTTAAAAGTAACCCTTGTAAATCAACAGCCTCTTTCTAAAACTTTTTTTTTTTAAGAAGGTAAAATAACCCTAGTAATTAGATAGAGACATTAGAAGAGATGTTAAATATTACTGCTCATAGCAGATGAAGCATACATTTTCCTTGCAATGTTTGTTTGGTTTTTTTGGTTGGTTGGTTGGTTTGGTTGTGAGGTTTTTTTGGTTGTCTTTTGGTTTGGGTTTGTTTTTTTACTTTAAAATGCATTAGAGAAACTCCATGCTATGAGTCTAAGATTACCTTGTATTACACATTTGAGTTCTCAGTACTTTAGAAGGTGCATTAGACCTTTACATTCATTCCCATGTTATTGTAAGATGTTGGAATATTCCTAATTTTCCCTCTGTTTTGAACAGCTACCACATTTGGATGACCTATACTCAGTATATCTATATTAATGTATATAATATATTGAGTACTTTGGAATGGTTTGGTTTTCTTCCTGTCATTGTCACCTTTATTGCATTATTGGTCACTGGAACAGGGTCCCCAGGGAAGTGGTCATGGTACCAAGCCCATCAGACTTCAAGGAGCATCTGCACAATGCTCTTATTCATATGGTTTAGTTTTAGATAGTCCTGCAAGAAGCAGTGACTTGGACATGATGATCCTTAGGGGTCCCTTCCAATTTGAGACAGTCTATAATTGTATGATCTACTTCGCAGTTACAAAGAAGGCTAAATACATACAGTCAGTCATTAACCAGAAAAAAAACCTGTACAACACATTACCATAAGCAATGATGGGAAAACACTACTGGTAATGTCTTTAAACCAGATAATACAAAAGCACTCAAAGACTCCAACCAAAAGTAATGCAATATTACAGACTACAATATACTGTAGCACTGATTATCTTTATTTCAAAATTGTACAAAGTATAAACATAAAGATATAATTACACAGAAGTAAAACCTGCTCTCTAAGTACCTGAATACTTAAGCAATGATGCTGCCCACCAAAAAATGCCTTTATTATTTCTCATTAAGAAATCTTATCTTATGGAGCGATACATCATGAAATCAATCGTTGTACATCGAGGAAATTTACCAATAGAGCTCTCTTCCACTGGTGTGTACACTTTGATTTGTCTCATGTGAGTGTCTCTTCCATTTTGGTGATTAGCTAGAACAGCAATCTGAATCATAAACGTGCGAATAGGCTTCTTATGAGTATCTGTTAAAGGAACATGAATCCAGCCGCTTGGTTCCACTAATTCAAGTTGCTGCCAAAAAACAAGACAGAAAAGCAAAACATTCAGAAACATTTAATGTACTTAAACATGTATTAAACCAATTTAATAGTCTTACAAATCAGATTTTAGTTACTTTTTCAAATGAATTTGAAATACTGCAAATTACTCATAGCTAATTTACTGATGGTATATAATTGGATACATATAATTCAGCTGACTATAGTCGTGTTTGCTTTTACCTTTCTGAATCTACTCTTCATTTTGTGCCTTAACCTTAAAATAAAAATCAATATAAAAAAATATGGACTTGCATATACATTCAAGGAAGTCAAAGCAGTACTATTTGGATCTGGTTCCATTTGGTACTTTGGTACTCTGAAGAACCCTGATCAAAGGTGACAGAAAACATGCATCTTAAATTATTTTATCTAGGCACTCTGAACTACAATATTCTAGAATGACTTACATTGGAAACTGAATCCACACAAAGTCTGGGTTTTCAGAAATTCCTAAGATTATTAGGGGACATGGGGAAGAGAAAAAGGAAGGTGACAGAGGAGAAAATACAGGATACCTCATGGGCTTTGTCTCATCTATCTGTCAAGACAGATGCCCGACCAACTAATAATTGCTAAACAGCCATTTAATCACATTCTATGGTCTGTTTTGACTTGGCTTTTACACAGAGTGTAATATGATTATTTTTTTGTTTTAATTTTAATCCCACAGAAACCAATGTCAAAGCAAGCAAAGAATTGCATTTTGTTAACTCTAAACCACATCACTGACACACCAGCATGCTGAAATCAAGCTAGATGCTATGCAGAAGTGTGGTAACAACTTTTGTTTAAAGCTAGTTGCCCAACTTCAAAGCACAGTTTAAAACACATATGGAAGAGCACACAAGTAGGCGGAAGTCTTGGGGCACGGGGGAACCAACAAAAAAAAAAAAAAAACAAACCAAAAACAAAAACGCCAACACAGTTGTCCACAGGGCAAGTGGATTTCACACAGCTAAGCAAATAAGTCTGCTGTTCTTCGCAGCCTAGCTCCTCTAAGATCTGTGCTTCTGAGCAGCTCAAAATTCCCATCTTTCTCCAGAAAATACCGCATGACATTCTGTCAAATGCTTTGCGTTTGCTGGAGCTTTCAAAAGACCCATCTGAGATCTGCTGCTTCAGAGGCAGCAAGCACCCTGAGGGGATGGCCCAAGAAACAAGTAAAAAAAGTTTGATGACTACTTTCAAGAGGAAAAAAAAACAACCCTCCTCTCACACCTTCACCTTAAGAGAAACTAAAAACCTAAAACTCTCCACTGCTACCAGCTCTCCATTTCCAAAGCATTAAATTCACTACATGTTAGCAGCAAATCTTTTCGTTCCAGGAGCTAGACACTAGCCACAAACACACAATCACTTATTTGTTGTAACTCTGTCTCTTTCAAAAAACCTACAAAATCTTTTTTTTTGCATAGGAAACTTCAGGTAACAGTTGGGTTTACAAAGTGACAGAAATGATGTACTGGTGAAGCAGCTTTACAAAGTGGAAATTTATCCCAGTGAGGTGGTAGTCATCATTTTGAACAAGTATGTTTGTTTGTGTCGTGGTTTAAGCCCAGTTGGCAACCCAGAACCAAGCAGCTGCTCACTCACTCCCCCTTAAACTACAACAGTTTGCCATCACCACAGTGAACAGAAAGGATGAGGATCCCAGTAATGTTTTATTCAACTACTACTAAGGTAAGGTGGCTATAATTTCAGAAAGAATTATAAGGTTATTGCTAATTAAACTTGCATTTCAATGTTATTCTCACAGGTTACAAACTCCAAGTTTCAGTGCTCTGATACTGGGTTTTTTTATGCTTGGATCAGTACCAAATGGATTAGTTAATACACTAAAATAAAGCATTGCTTTCTTAAGAGTTGACATCACTGGTTTCAGCCATATCAATTATAGTCCAGGTTTGTATGCCTCACTGGAAAAATTGTGGAGTGAAATAACGACTCCAACTCCGGAACCAAGAGAGCTACCAAAGAATCAGCAAAACTGGACTATTTGTACAAAAGGAAGTTGGATGTTTATTAACTTCACAGAGAAAATAATACCTTCAATTTTAAGGGAATTATTAGGGAATTTAAAAGTTACAAAGGCTAGTTTACTAGTAATAATAATAATGGGGGTTTTACTAGTAATAATATACTTGTACCTTTTTACATAAATTTTTGACTATGTATGCATCAGTGCTTTGCTTCATCCCTGATCAGTGGGAGGTGGTCATATGCTTTATTTACAGCATGCCATTTTTCAGCCCTGCTAAAAAGGCAGCCCATTTCTACATGTGCCTTTCTATAGAGATGGGACAAGTAATTTCTACATCTTTAAAACAGGTGACTAAGGCATTAGGTTAATTAAATTAAAACATTCCCTAGTTCCAAATGTCAAATTTGATACACTTTGAACCTGATTTTTACTATCCTTAATAACACACAATATTTTACTGAGGGTTAGCTCCCAGAATTCACTTGCAGTTTTAAGTGTCTGCATTTCTGCAAATTGACAAGTTCTCAAACCAGCCACTAGAACACCCAGTATGGAATAGTTATTTCAGTGTGTCACGTAAAAACACATAGTGACTAAGCACAAACTGCACACAATTCATCAAGAAGCATTCAACTCTCCTAACCATAAAGCCCCTTTTTTATTCCTGAAATCTCTGCTTCACTTGGAGTTTGTTGACTAACTTCTGTAACAGCTGAATATGAATCCTTTACTGTACAAATCCTGGACTCATCCTCAGAATAGACCCCTTTCCCCATTCCAAGCAAATAGTTGCCTCTTGGACAAAGCATGTGACGCTTGTGAAGTTGAGGCTATACTGCAATGTATTAAGCACAAGGGGTCCAAGTTAAACTTAAATGTTTGAAAAGGACCTCTGGATTTTTGCCCTAAGTAACATTAATGTACGGTGATATTTTTTGAGGGTTTTTTTTTTTTTTTCAATTGATGCCTATGTAGTTTAGCAAAATGATTAAAACCCACTCAACTACTGAAGTTTAAATGCAACAAAACCTAATTACTATTATCTGAACATCCACTAGAAAAGGAAGTAATATTTTGCCAGTAAACCTACACATTTTCTGTAACCAAAGGAATGGTACAAACCAGACACATACACTCCTAAATTATTCTCCTCCACATGTCATGCGCTTTCAGATGAGTGAGAAAGTTTCTTTTCCAGAGGGCCCAGGTTCTTCACCAGCGGGAAAGAATAAGACATGGGAATAGGCAGTGGTGGTACAAGACAAAACGTTGCCCACTCTTAGTTCAATGTCAGCACCCACATCCAACCATTACAATTCCTAGCAGAAGTGGGATGAAATATGCAGCTCTACTCTGCCTGAAGCATTCCCAGTGTGAACAGAATCTAAAGGAAGCTTATTGTGAAGTTTTAAGAAATTCCTATGAAGCCCATGCAAATGGCAATCTTTCAAAGCCTTGTAAACCGGTCTGGAAACTTGGGTGGATTTTTACAGGGAGGCAAAAGGCACATCCTCAACACAAAGACTGAACTATTGCCAAATTTCAAATCCTTGCTTCAGAGCTTGGGGGCACTGGAGCATCAAAGAAGGACACCAGAATATTCTCACACAAGCAAAATAGCATACTTGTCACTAGCCTTATTCTTGAAACAGAACTGCTTTGGCTGAAACTTCCAAAAAATTCAACCCAAAGCAGACATCGGGCATGGAAAAATCTGTCTGAACTGAACTTGGGCAAAAGTTACAAAGTAATTAAGAGTTAAGCCTTAAAATGGAAAGGGTCACATAACCTTAAATACAGGTGGTAGCTCTACCTATAGTAATTACTGGTTTTCAACTCCAGTTGACTTTGCTGTCGACCCTGTTCTTCAGAAGCACTAGCCACTGTATACACATATATGTATATAGATATACACACACACACACACACGTATTTCACCCCAACTCTACAGCACAAGCCCGCCATGAAAAAATATCAGATTAACTTTCCTCCTATATTTTTAACTCCTACATAGGTCATTAGGCATCAGTCACAATTAAATGGCTTCCAGGAAAGTTTTACAATCCAGCTGTGTTATTAATTACCTGAGTGAAATGAAAAATTACAAGTTCGTGTGTTTACCAGAAAAGGTTAAAAAAAGGGGAGCAAGGGGGGAAAGAACAAAAGAAAGAGTCAATGCAAGTTCAGTATTAGTAACTCAGGACAGTTCCTGCAGCCTTAGAGTAATCTTACAATATACTAAAAGCCTAGGGTTTGTTTGCTTGGTTTGCTTTTTTTTTATATTTGCTTCTAATACTATAAATTTTGTGACAACTAGTGAACAAGAGTATAAAAGTCAAAACAAAGGAACAGAAATTAAAATGGAAAAAAATCACTCACTTGTCCTTTGCTGCTGTTACACACTCTCATCTATCTCCTCTCCTGCTTTCTTCTCTCCACTGCCTTCTTATTTTTCCTCTCCTCTGCACGCTACAGCTTTACCTATGGACATATACTCCCAACTCCAGTAATGCATGTTATTTTGAAAGCCAAAGCAGAAATAATGTTCTCAAAAAAAAATCTCCTCCCCAGCCAATTTAATAGCACTGTTTTTTCACTTTATCTTGTAGAGTCCAGAGGTTCTACAGAATTCTGCACACATTTGGCAAGGCTGTTATTGCAACTATCGTATGTTCTACCACAGAAGATGCAAACCACACGAAGTAAAAATAATTTAACAAAAAATTATTTATCCAAAGAAGGCTTTTGTATTATACTAAATCCTACTTAAACTGAATATTGACTTATTTTTCATACTTTGTGATATTCTGTGGTGCCTTCAAAGTGGCATATAACTCAAAATGCTAATATACTATGCTTGTAAACCCAAGCCAAATTCTTTCCTACATTTACAACAGGCTAACATCTTTGAAACAATACATGATTTCTACTGCACTATGAAGATAGCTTTTGTGAAGGTACAGAAAGGAAAAAAAAACATGTACATAGTT